TTGATACAAGGCACCGGGTCGATGGAGCCCTCATTGAAGTTTTGAACATAATTATCGAAGGCTCGCATGATGTAGTTTATGGAGGGATGAGTTAGGGATTTTTTCTTATTGATGTCTACATGATAGAGCATAGGTGTGCTTTGGCCTGAGAGCTCGATAAGTTAGATGATGTAGACACAAATGGGATTTTTGTTGGATAGGTTGATGGATTCTAAGAGGCTGATCATGCTTCGTACTTCTCCTTCCTTATACACATATGACATGATGCATAACTTTAAGTTTCTTGAGGTGTTTTGTATTGTCCTTATCATTGTTGATGCTTGTTGTGATGACCTCGAAAATGTTTCTAGCCTAATAAGAGGTTTATATAGGAATTCAATCAATAGTGACACAATTGTTGTAATCTCGATCACAAAAAACACCCAGTGAGTGAAAAGTTGATCATCCACTATCTGAAAAACACAAATCACATAGAATCATCAATATGAATTAGTAATATTATATTATTTTATTTAATCAGTATGCCAAACAAAGCTTTGAGAGAGAAAAGAGACATATATATAGATATAGAGAGAGAGATTTAGACCTTGAGTCTCCTAAATTTAATGAAAATAATGAGATCAATGATGCCCTTGCAGTTCAACATGAGGCCAAGCACAATGCCATGTTTGAGTCTAATGCTGTAAGAGAGTGAGATAAGTATGCAAGCCATGAACTTGGTGACAAAGCTCGCAACTATGATGAGTTGAACCTTAAAAATGATGCCCCAAGTTTGAAGGGTATACACATTAACGTTTAATCCTATATAGCAGGAAAACAAAGGCATAAGAAAGTGTAATATGATGCCCTTTATCCTCTCCACTACAGTTATGGCTATTAAGGACCCATGGGGCATAACCAAGCCTACGAGAAATGGTCCTAAAATGAAAGACATCCCAACTGGGTTACTTATAGCCCCCATAGCCAAAACCCTAATTTGTATGAGAGCAACATAACCCTGACTTAATGGCATCTTAGAAGGTATCCTCCTAGCAATCATCAACATTGCTAGCTTTATCAAGAAAAAGCATAAACATATATAGGCAACGCAAGAACCCTAATGTGTTCCCCACCTTAAAGTTGATGACTGTTGAGATCGTTATAAAAACCCCGTGAGCAATCTTGTTGAGGATGGTTGTGACATCGCAATCTGGCCTAACTTGGAAGTTAAGAGGTTTAATTCAACTAAGTTTTCAGACGACGGGGAAAGTAATGATTGAGGTTGTCACACACAATAACATGCGTACGCGTTGCATGTTGTCTAGCTTGGAAGATACATGGGGGAAGAGGAGAAGAAGAAGCCGGACATGACCTAGAAACTGGACCAAAAGGTATTGTTCCTAATTTCCAGTTTTTTATGGCATGTTTCAGGGTTGGACACCACCTCCATTTTTCATTATGACGATTAAAGATGTAATATGCGACCGACGTTGATGACATGCACCACAAGATCTTGGCTTGAGTTGGCCGGAATAGAAGATTCTTGAGTTTCTTGTTGTGCCCTGCAACTGAATGTCCAAGAAGAATCCCAGCCTACAAGTTTACATAACCAAAAACAAAAAAATTTGGTTCCTGTGGAACCACAAACATGAATGCATATCTATGCCTCTGAAAACAATATAACATAATATAATATTTCTTTTTGTTGTATCCCAAAAAAAAACATAATATAATATTGTTGGCAAGAGCTCAGCCTCAAGATTATTTTATTCGTTTATGTATATGTGGATGAATATATAAAATGCAGGAACATATCAAAGATATATAGCGGAGAAAAATACCAGAACTGAGCATATGAACTTGGGAGTTCTGACAGGCCTGAGAAGGAAGTAAATTAAGCCTATAGGAAATGAGGAACAAGAAGATTTGGAGCAGCGTGATGGGAAGTACACTATGGAATGGGCTATTCCTATACCCACGCCGTGGAAGAATCTGGAGCGTATTGTGTCCTTGCTTAAACAAACTTCATAATACGAATTAATGTCAAAGTTATCAGGATTAATGGTTCCATTCACTCGCACTTCAACATTTACCATTGTTGTATGCAGGTGACCAAGAGAGAAGAAGAACCTAATGTTTTCTCTCCAGGTTTCTGTGCTACAGATGAATTTATAATGGCCTTCCAAAGGAGATATATATAATGAAACACTGCAATTAATTAATAAGGGAAGCATGGGTTCGAGATGGCATTGTCACGTTTAGGTATATCAGTACAGCATTGAATAAAAGCTATTTTGGTCCCTTGGTATCTAAAACTGGTAAATGATAATTAGACAAGTTTCAAGAGAACATATCGAAGTATTAATGTTCTAAAGAAAACCAAAAATCGGCTGACAGGATGATGGGCACAGAAAACAAACTTCAAGGTTTGCATAGCTAAAATTTGAGTTGTAATGCCAAAAAAAAAAAATTGAGTTGTAATTATGTGCACATATATATATATACAAAATAAAAATCAGAAGAAAGTGTAGTGCGTAAATGGTAATTGAGCTAACAATATTCGTCAAGGTACAAAGGTCTCAGGTACAATCGTAAATTCTAAAAGTAGTATACAATCTGTTAGCTAGTGTAGCTTGCATAAACGATTTCAATCAATTTGGATTTCAATGTTATAGAGAAGTAGGTTTTAAGAAATGAAAGAATGCCATCTTATATTTTCGTGCAATTAATTCCATCAAGTAATAATTAAAATGAAGAACAACTATGATTAGTTGGCAAATAAAGGACAATTTCCAAGATTAAGGAAAAGAGGGAAGCACAGCAATATAAGTAACCTAAGGGAGAAGAGAAGAATTCACTAGTTGCAGTGTCACACACTTCATCACAGTACAAGAACATGGACGACGAGAGTGATGGAAGAGAGAAAGCAAGAGATGAAAAGCTTCCTTCGCATCCCCCCTCCCCTCCATTAGTTTTGGGATTTTTGTTTATCTTTTTAATATCAATAGAAAAACTTTGATTTTAATTGGCATTTTTAAGTGTTGAGATCCTAAATCATAATTGCGAGGCTAAAATGGTTCCAAGACTCAAGATTCCAACTTTGGTTTTAGGTATTCTCTTTAAATTATAATATAGGATATTAGTATTTCACTATTTTTTTTAAAAAATAATTGAATCTTAATTGTTTTAAAAATTTAACATCTTTAATTTTTAATTATATTCTCGTTAAATGTTTATATAAATGTCTTGATAATGATAATTAAAATTTTAATACTTATATTTATTTAAAAAAAATAAATGAAGTATGATGTACTTGAAAAAAAAATTATAAGATTAGTCTATGCCTTATATTTTTTTATCAACTTAAGATATCCCGTTTCTTGCTAGGAGGAAGTAGGTGAAAACAACATGGTCTCACTCGCGAGTCATGTACAATAACCCTATCATTTGGACTCAAACTCTCTCCCCCCTATTATCCCCTCCTCTTACCCTTCTCCCACCCCCTTATTAAATTTACATTTGGATAATCTAGATTTAATTTTTTTATTTTTTTATTTTATAGTTTTTAAAATAAAAATTATATAAATTTTAATAAATTATTTATCAGTTTAAATAATCTTGATTAGTATAAATAATTCATATTTAATTCATATATAAAAAAATGTAATATTGAACATATATGATTTAAAATATATTTAAAAATTTAATTATAAACATTTTGATATTAAATATGAATAATTCATATTAAATTTGAAATTTACAAATAAATAAACACAAATTTATTAAAATATTTGGTATTAAAAATATCTATAAAGTCAATTATAAAATTTTGATATTAATATGAATCATTTATATTAAATCTAAAATGTCTAGACAAATAAATAAATTTATTAATTTTTTTTAAAATTAAATAATTTTTTTATTTTAAAAAATTTAAAATACAAATATTAAATTTAAACTGTTTAATAATCTAGAACATCCAGAGTCTATACCTCCTCAGTAGGGAGGATGGCTTCTCTCCTAACATCTTAAATGCACGTGAGCCAACTTTTTAATGGATCCCGCATCTTTGGTGTCAATATTCCAATCTCCGCCATTATGTTTAGAGAGAATTTTAATAAACGCCCTTAACCATATTTATTTAAATGCAAAAATTTTAAAATGTTGAAATTATATTGTAATTAGAATACTAATTGATATTAAATTTATAATAAAATAAAAATAATTTTTATTTAAATTAATATCAAACTTTCTTATTTCACTTGTTAATTTGCTTACGGAATACTATTAATTATCTTACTTAACTTGTCTTCCTTTCATATATTTAAATAATCTCAAAACAAATTGTTCATTTCTATACTATATATATTTATTTATTTATGAATTATTATTTATTATCTTACTTTACTATTTATTGTTCTTTCACTTGATTTTATTTCAGAAAAATAAACAGTGAAGTAAGATAATTAATCATATTTTGTAAGTAAATGAACTAATGAAGTAGGGCAATTAATAAAGTAAGTAAGACAATTTTATATTAATTCAAATGAAGGATAATTTTATCATTTTTTAAAAATTTAATATAAATCAATACTCCTAAGTTATAGTAAAAATGTAGGGGTTTAAAATTGGAAGAGTGACAGAGAGGTTCCAAAAGAATTAATTAATTTAAGTTAAATTTCAAATATTAAATTTTAAAAATTTACAACTCTATTTCTTAATTTTTAATTTTATTGTGATGAATTTATAATTTATATTTTAAAAGTAAAAATTAAAAAATAAATTATAAATTTATTTAATGTAATTGTAAAATTGAAAGATAGACTTTTAAATTTTTTAAGTTTAACATTTAAGATATAATTTAAATTAATTAATTTTTTTTAGGATGTCTTTGTTATTCTCCCTGGAAATTTAAATAAGCGTCATCAAGGGTAAATTCTCCCTTATTTCCAAGGCATGGTGGTGTCCTCCTCCTTCCTTCATGTCTTTCTGGTCCCATCCTTTTTCTATGGTATCACTCGCATATCCGCTAACTTAATCCATGTTCAATCTTTTTTTATTCAATATCAACAGCTCACGGAACACGGTCTCTCGTTCCCTACTCGGATTCTTCGTGCGCTCATCTCTTCACTCGGATTCGGATTCGGATTCGGATTCCAACGGACCCACTAAGATCCCTTGTCACTTCCCAGATTTCTCAGTCGCTTTGTACTCCACGTCCATGAATCGTCTCCCTGATCCTATTTTTACCAACTCAACTCACCCGTTATGCTTCGTGTGTTAGGTTGATGATATTTCATTTTTCTGATTCCCCTCTGCATCTCAATTCTGCAATAGAGGACTCAGATCCCGCCAGAATTTCCTTTCCGGGTACGATTACGATACTGTTTGACTGACACAAGCCTTTTGTGATCCAATTTGCATAAATTTAGTTTTATTGGCAAGTTTTTCTATGAATTCGAATCGTTCACTTCAGTCCTCTCTGCTCCAGCTTTCCCCCTCTATATCTACATTTTCAGATTGTCTACTCTCCTTCTGAGTATCTGTCTCCTTCTTGTCCTCATCGGTCAGGCTGATATATGATAACTGAACTGGTGTTTCTAGTTTGCTTTATTCCCGACTCTCATTTTTTGTTTTTACGGTGAAATCGAATTTGACATGGTCATTTTCCAAAAAAAATTATGATATATGAAAATTTTTATAATAATAATAATAATAAAAAGCTTGTAATAAGTCTTATGTGATGCATGATCAATCGTAGACATAAAATTAGTTTTTTAATATGATCTTAAAGTTCATATAACTTTGAGTCTGCCATAATAATATATCATATGGATCACATAGAACTGTATATTAGTTCTTTTTGTTATCTTTGTAGTATTATTATGTAGAGTAAATTTGCTTACCTACCTTAAGAATTGGTTAAATTATATATAATATTTTTCTTGTTTAAAAAAGTACACCAGGCCCCCTTACATTTTGATATATATTATAGAATTATCCCTTCCAGTTTTTTTTTTGTCAAATTAATTTTTTGTACTAAATGAAACTGTGATTTTATAGACTAAATAAAATTATTTTGGAGTACCTAAAATTAACCAAAGAGGTATTACTATGGGGACGGCTTGAATCATTTTGAAGTACCTATACCAAAATTTGTAGGGATGAATCATTTGGCATTATTGTTAGGCTTGCTAAGATTTTTGAAAGGAAACTTGTTTGTTTATAGTTCTATTGTGTTGTTTATCATCTTTTTACCTTTGTTTTATATACTTTTTTAATGTTGAAGGTTCGCCATCCAAAAATAAAAATGTTAAAAGGTTCTTGAACCCCATATCTTCATTTCTTTACAAGGTATATAAAAACATAAGCAATATGCAGTCTTATTTGCAAGTAAGGTGTTCTAGTAATTGGTTTGTCCAGTATAGCCCGTCTATATGTGACTTTGAAATTTGCTCACTGGAATCCCTCCGTGGAAGATGCAAGTTGTATCCAAAACCTGTTTATTATTATTATTATTATTATTATTATTATTATTATTATTTGCATTACAAATATATGTCCCTGAGAGATCAGGTTTATTTTGATTGATATTAATTTAGGCCACCAATATGTACACAAAGGCAGACATTGATGCACGCAGAAAGGAAACATCTGGAAAGAAAAAGAAGCTGTACAGTACCTTGTTATCTCTGAACATTTTCTTTTTTTTTTAAATTGTCTCTACTGAGAGTTATGACATTAAGTACAGTAAGCGATAAATATATGAATTCATTTTACTCAATATATTAATTTCATGGTGATTTGGACCTTTTCACATGATATCATTGTGTTTAAGTACTCTGAATATATTTAACATAATAATAAGGAATATTGGTTGTCATTGAATTTGATGGTAGTAACGATGAATGTCACCTCACCTCATGGATGGCTTCTTAGTTATACATCCCTTTGTTTATCTGTTAACCCCTGCACTTGTGAACATGGTACAGTTGTGCAGCAGCATACAAAGAATGGCTTGTCCCAAGTCTGAGCCCAACTTCTTGAAGGACTTTTGGATCCCTAGCTACATACTTGCACCAGAGTCACCAAAGGGTGAGATCGATCATGATGCACCTTCATGCCCAGTGCTAGTTTTTATTAACCCCAAGAGTGGTGGTCAGCTGGGAGGGGACCTTTTTAAAACGTATTGTACTCTTCTTAATGAAAAACAGGTAAAGAAAAAGAAAAGAAAAGAAGTATTACTGGTCTCATGTTGAATATTTCTAGAATCTGCAAGTCAATGATTACACATTGGACATTGTAGAAATGAACTCCACAGTCGAAAATTTTCAATCTCAAATGTGCCAGGGAACAATTCTCAGGTTTTTGATTTGGGGGAAGAAGCTCCTGATAAGGTGCTGCGTAGAATCTATATTAATTTTGAAAACCTCAAGCTGCAGGACGATCAGTTTGCTATGAGGACTATGGAGAGATTGAAGTTAATTGTGAGTTGAGATATACTTGATGTTTTAATGGAAATTTTTCTGACCAGCTTAATTTCCCTTTTGAATTGTCAATTTATTGATTTTATAGGTATGCCCTCTTGTGAATTTCTGATACATACCTTTTCTTTAGGTTGCAGGGGGAGATGGAACTGCAGGTTGGCTACTTGGTGTTGTTTGTGACCTCAAATTGCCTCATCCACCACCAATTGCCACGGTTCCCTTAGGCACAGGGAATAATCTTCCTTTTGCATTTGGTTGGGTATGAGATTGCCCTTTGTGGGTGCTGCTTCATGAAAGTTTGAATTGCTTGTTAAAACATACAGACACTGCAAGCAACGTAATAGTTCAAGAACTATGATTTTAACATTAGAAGTTCTAATTGAATAAGTGCTTGTTTTGAATTGGAACCTTTACTGTGTTACACAGAGTGCTGTGCAGCAGTGCAGCACAGCAGAGGTGAAGTTAAGAATAAAACTCAAAAAGGAAAAAGAAAAGAAAAAAGGGCCCCCTTGTTCCAGAGGGGCATCACAGCACAGCAGGGGATACTCACTCTGCCTGTATCTTTTTTGATTGTATGGTCATGAAAGGGCACGCATCTTGCCTTTTTTTTTATTTTTAATGTTGTGGTTCCTGTTATGCCTTTAACTTCTAATAGAAGGTGAGGAAATTTCCAGTTAGCCCTGATATGTAAGATTTAATAGAATAAAGTAAATTAGACCCATTAGTTTTTCAGTTGATCTTAGTGAAGAAAAGTAACTGCTTAACATGAATAGCAGGATGACACGTGTATTTGGCTGCTATACAGGGGAAGAAGAACCCAGGAACAGATGAGCATTCGGTTGAGTCATTCTTAAAGCAAGTTATGGAAGCTAAGGAAATGAAAATAGACAAGTAAATTGTGGTCCTATTCTTTCATATGCTGCTATTTAGATTGTTTACATATTAGTCTGTGGCAACAATGGTTTTTTCTTCCTGGCTTAGTGCTATGCACAAAATGATTCAAATATCCAAACAATTCAAGAAAATAAATTGTGGAATATCCAGGCTGTGTAATTGAAGTGGAGAAATGATTCTGTGATTCCAGTTCTTGTTGAATTGTAGATGTTTTATAAATCCAAATTGAAAGTTTAAAATTTCCCGGTGGATATATTAGTGAATTTTCATTTTGTTGAAACCACTACAATAGGCTCCTTTTAGTGATCTGTTCAGACAGTGTTAACCTCAAAACATTATGTTAGCGATGTTTAATATCAGTCACTGTAATTTACACGGTTGAATTAATTATTTTGGTTCCTTAAGGCCATGGTTCTTTCTTAAGTTTAGTCATAGAACTTTGTTCCTTGTTTTCATCTTTTATTTCGCTCCTTCTTATCTTCCCAAGTCCAGTCTTTAGGACCCCCATAAACCCTTGGCAAAAATATGAATTTTGAAGGGCTGCTTTTTTTTTTTTTTTAATAACACATCAGCTGGCACATTCTTATGAGGATGAGGATTCCAAAAGAAGGTTCCTGTGATCCAATAGCGCCTCTTGAGCTGCCGCATTCTTTACATGCATTCCATCGTGCTTCTGAGGCAGATGAATTAAATATGGTAAGACATTATATGATTCACTGTTTTGCGATCTCCAATCTGGTTCATGGTGCATCTTCAGGAATTTAAATGGGAAAGCATCCACTTTAATGTCATATGTTTTCATTGGCTTGACTTTGACATGTTGAATTGCTAATTACGGTAGTAACCTTCTTGGAGATGACTGGATCATGTTGAGCGTTGACTCCAATTATATTATCGATGGAAAAAATTTGTTTTGAACTATGAAGGGCATAATGCCAAATTGCTGGTGTGACATTGCACACAATTACAATGAAATCTTCATTACACTCTGTTTCAGAGGAGAAACTAATCCCAATACGCAAGCCAATAGAGGAGAAGGAAGCTTCCACTTTAAATGGAAGTCCCTTGTCTCCCAGCCAGCTGACATTGGTTCAGGCTCCAAATATGTTTTTCTACTTGTTTTTACTTATGGATTTTAAAATAACAAAAACAATGAGGTGACAGTGGTTAATAATTTTTTTTTTAATATTTTCAATTTTTTTAAGAAATTTTCATCTTTCCTTGCTTACTTTCCTCATGACTGTTTCTTCTTCTCAGGAAGGTTACCACACTTTCCGTGGGGGATTTTGGAACTACTTCAGCATGGGTAAGAATTGTTCTTCCTGGATTTTTCTATAGCTGAACCTAAGTTAAAAAATTATATTTGTTGTCTATTTGATTTAACTAATTGGCATGAAATATTCTGGATGGTATCAAGTTTTCTCCTTTCCTCCTTCTTTGATCTCTTCAAGGTTATACAAGTGTGGTTGACAACCATGTAGCACACATAATGCAGTGTGAATCAATTTTGACAGTTGAAACTTTCTTTATACATGGTCTGAAAAATGTGTCAGTTATATAATGTTACTGTCTACCAATTCAAATTTTATAGATTTCCTACATGGTTTCTCTTGATCTTCAATGGTTGGTTAAAAAAAAAAAAAAATCATGATCGCTGACTGTAGGAATGGATGCTCAAATATCTTATGCATTTCACTCAGAACGAAAGATGCATCCAGAAAAATTTAAAAATCAGCTGCTTAATCAGGTAATGAAGCCCTCTTTAGTATTTCAGTAATAAGAGTAAATGCATGAACAATAAATTGTAGGTTAATGCCTATACTTGCTCGATTTCCTTACTCCTTGATGGAAAGCAATGAGTCCAGTTTTAGATATGGGAGATGTATATCCATCCACTTCTAGTTACCCATTTTGTAGTGATGATTCCGATCTAAATGTCAGAGCACATATGCTAAGCTTGGATGCACACAAGGATGGTTTATGGCACCTCTTTTCCATCCACCTTCCAGGTTAGTTCATGTAGATCTTTCACAGATTAGACAATCATTTGCGTGCCTTTTCTTTATAAGTATTATGTGATGTCTTTTCTTGTCTTGCACCACTTCAATTGATTCAGGAATGATTTTATATTGTGCAATGTAAATATTTGTTCAACTGATTTTTTTCTCATTCAAGATGTGATCCTGATAATTTATTGGTGCAATATTTTAATCATATTATTTATCCTTATGTGGAGAGAACATCAGAGTCAAGATTTGGAAATGATCTCTTCCTCTGTTCTAACAGAAAATTGCTGGATCTAGACTTACACCTAGAAACGTTATTAGCTTCTCTAAAAACATGTATTCCATACCACTCAGTGTAGGACTTAAGTTCCCCATATTTGCCTTGGTCTCTCTTCACCAAGTCAAATGTACACGCATGCATATGTGTGAACCTGTTAGGATAGAAAGAGACGAAGAGAGAAGAAGAAGAAAGATAGGTAGACGAGGAGGAGAGAATAGAGAGACGCGTAGAAGAGACGTTCTGATAGTACGTTTATTAAAATGAGTTTCAACAACAACACTGTGCATCTGGACTTGGGTATTTATAGGGCTGGACCATTAGACTAAATATTAGTAACAGCACCGACCCAAGGAAATAACATTTATACCCCTGCCCTAACTAATTCCTAATATTTTCATATCAATACTCCCCTCCCTAACATCCTTGCCCTCAAGGATCAAAAAGAGGAAAATCCGGAAACTGTTTTTGAAATTTGAACTGAGACAGCCATGTAGCTTCCTCATCTGGCAAGCCTTTCCACTGAACTAACACTTCAGTAATAATCCTTCCTTTCTTCCTTCCCACTCGCTTGTTTAATACCTTCTCAGGAAATAACATTTCTGGGATTTCTGGCCATTCATCAGGCGGATGTCACTGCTTCACTGATGGGTCAGGGCATAACTTGAGGAGAGAAACATGAAAAGTGGAATGAATTCTGGAACTAGGAGGTAATTCCAGTCTGTACGCAACCTTCCCAATCTTTTTGAGCACTTTATAAGGCCCAAAGTACCTTGGTGCTAGCTTTTGAGTGCTTCTAGAGGTAATAGAGATTTGCCTATAAGGCTGTAATTTCAAAAACACCCATTGACCTTCTTCAAACGCTCGATCAGATTTTTCAAATCAGCCCTTTGCTTCATTAAATTCGCTGCCCTATGCAAATGATGCCTTAAAACTCCAATCATGCGTTCCCTTGCCTCAAAACTCCTGTCTACAGCTTCAACGATTGCTAATCTAGGCAAATAAGGAAATATTAAGGAGGTTTCTGTCCATAAAGTAATTCATAAGGAGTAGCCTTAATGGAAGTATGAAACTAGTATTATACCACCATTCAGCAAGTGATAACCATTTACTTCCATTCTTTAGGATTCTCCCAACACATACAACGTAGATAAGTTTCCAAACACCAATTGAGCACCTCGGATTGACCATCGGTTTGAGGATGGTAGGAAGAAGTAAGCTTTTGCTCCACTCTAATCACCTTGAGGAACTCCTTCCAAAAATTACTAATAAACACTAGATCCCTATCACTTATCACTTCAACCGGGGCTCCATGCAATTTATATATATTATCCAAGAATGCTTGAGCTAACGTAGAAGCTGAAAATGGGTGAGATAGGGCCATAAAATGGGCATACTTGCTCATTCTATCCACGACAACCCAAATGACTTCCTTCCCACTTGATTTAGGGAGCCCTTCGATGAAATCCATAGTAACACTTTCCCACACCTTACTCGAATTGGTAGTGGCTGTAACAACCCTGGACTTGCCACTATCTCATACTTACAGCGGGCACAAGTGTCACAATTTTGACAAAATCCTGCACATCTCGTAACATTTTCTTCCACCAAAATAACCCTTTGATTTTCTGATATGTGGCTTGTATTCCAGAGTGTCCCCCTTGAGCACTGGCGTGTAACCATTCTAGAATAAATTGCCTCAAGGCTGGACTTTCCCCTACCACCAGCTTCCCATTTCTTCTAAGGAATTTGCCATCCCAAGAATAGGCTTTAATACTGCCATTTTGTCTTTGTAACTCAGAAATAAGGCCCTTGAGATCTGGATCCAACTCCCAACTCTCCTCAAGCTTGTGTAATAATTCTGGAGATGATGTATCTAGAGTCATCTGAAGTAACTGAGGTCGTGAGAGTCGAGAAAGAGCATCTGCAGCTGTGTTATCATTCCCTTTTTTATAATGAATTTCATAATCATACCCCATTAACTTTGTAACCCAATACATCTGAAAGGGGTCTTCAACTTCTGTCCCAACAAAAATCGAAGGCTTTGCTGATCTGTTTTGATAATAAACCTCCTTCTTTCAAGGTATTGATGCCAATGCTCAACAGCTAGGACAACTGCCAATAATTCCTTCTCATAAACTGCAAGCTAGAGCTGTTTGGGACCCAAAGCCTTGCTGAAAAATGCAATGGGTTGATTTCCTTGGAGCAGGACAGCCCCAATGCCCCTTCCACAAGCATCCGTTTCCACTACAAACTCTTTATTGAAATCTGGGAGAGATAAAACAGGTGCTGAAACAAGTATTTGTTTCATCTTCTTGAATGTGGCAGCAGCTTCTTCATGCCACTGGAATGCATTTTTCTTCAAAAGGTCCGTCAAGGGTTTGATTATCTGTCCATACCCCTTTAAAAACCTTCTATAGTACCCGGCAAGCCCTAAAAAGGACCTCAATTGTTTAATAGTAGTTGGTGTAGGCCAATCTACCACTGCTTGAATTTTCTGAGGGTCAGTAGCCACCACTCCATTACTAATAACGTGCCCCAAGTATTCCACCTTATTGTTGGCAAATGTACACTTGCTCCTCTTGATGAAATAATGATTTTTCTGCAAAATTTCAAACACCAGTCTTAGATGCTGAACATGCAGATTTAAATTTGAACTATAAACTAAAATGTCATCAAAGAAAACAAGAACAAAGTGGCGTAAGTAAGGTCTAAAAATAGAGTTCATTGCTCCCTGAAATGTTGCTGGAGCATTGGTTAAGCCAAATGGCATAACCAACCACTCATAATGACCCGAGTGTGACCGGAAAGCTGTTTTGAATGTGTCTTGAGGCTCCATTCGAATTTGATGGTATCCTGCTCTCAAATCCAGCTTTGTGAACCATCTAGCTTCCTTCAATTCATCCAACAATTCTTCCAATAGGATATCTATTCTTGATTGTCTTCTTATTAAGCTCACGGTAGTCGATACACATGCGCCATGAGCCATCCTTCTTTTTTATCAATACAATAGGTGCAGCAAAAAGGGAGCTACTCTCTTGTATCACGCCTGTAGCTAACAACTCTCCCACCATTTTCTCAATAAGGTCCTTTTGGGCAGAAGAATAACGATAAGGCTTGAGATTAATAGGATCTGTCCCTTCTTGTAAAAGAATAGGGTGGTTATGACCCTCCTAAAAGGGGGCAGACCTTTAGGTTCATTGAAAAGACTAGTAAATTCTTCCAAAAGGTCACCAACAGCTTCTGGAATGGGTTCTGTTGGTTGCACAGCATGGATTTGACTCTGAAACTGACTATTTTTTGCTAATTGGAGTAGAAATAATTGGCACCCGTCTCCATTCTTAATTTCCAACTTGCTAGAATCAACCATTTGCCATTTTGATGGAGGTTGCGCCTGCAAAACACACATTTTCCCATACAACAACAAGCCTTTTAAGCCATTCCCAGCCCAACACAATATCGTAATTGCGTATGTTCATTATCCTAAGGTCTCGGCCAAAGTCTTCTCCTTGCATTTTCCATTTAAATGCCTTCCAAACTCCATATATTTTCAATTTTTCAGCCCCTGCAACCACTGCATCAGTCCATCCATCTCTTCTTCATTCCAACCCAGCTTCTTTGCCAAGTCATAATTGAGAAAATCATGGCCATTATCTATGAGAATTTGGATAGGTCTTCTTCCCACATATCCTTGAAGTCTCATAGAATTCATACTAATTTCACCCTCAATGGCATGTATTGAAATTTGATGGCATTCAGGAGGAATTTCATGTTCATCAGGGTCTGTCTCGTTAGGTTCCACCTCCTCTTCCTCCAGATTTTCATCCAGCTCTATTAATTGCAACTGAATCTTGCGTCTTTGAGGGCAATTATGGTCTCTAGAAAATTTTTTGACAATAAAAAGCAGAGGTTTTGTGCTCTGTGTTCTGCCTCCTCCTCTGGTGTTAATTTGTGGGAATTTTAATCCCAGAAATAACTTGGCGAGAAGGAAGATGAATCTTTTGCTGTGTTGGACGCTGAGCCTTGCACGACTGAGGATTCTGAGGTTGGCCGTGCTGTTTTTTTAGTTGTGTTTTGGTGAGACCCATCACGTGAGAAGCTCTGTTTCGGTGTTGCCCAGGTATTCGCAGAACGCCAAGAGGCTGTAGATGCCATGATGTTGCTCTGCGGTGTGTAGGCCCTTTCTTGGGCATGTGGTTGCTTCTAGTGATCTCTGAAGGTGTATTTCTTGAAGTCGTGCCAGACTTCTTGCATCCTGAACAGATGTGGGCTTAAGTAATCTCACTGGCCCAGCATATTCTTCTTGTAAACCCTCTAAATAGGTCTGCACCAAATACTCCTCAGTTAGATCCAGCTTACATACGATTTCATCAAAAGAATCATTGTAATCTCCCAAGCTCCCTGTCTGTCGCAGCCGCATCAGTTCCGCCATGGGTGCTTCATAAGTGGGTCCAAATCGGTTCTTTATGGCTTCCGAGTATTCTTCCCATCCAGTCGCACGTCTCCTTCTGGTGTGCATGAAGCTTTGATGCCGTTGGAAGGCTTTCTCATCAAGATGAATACTAGCCATCATGACTTTCCACGCATCTGGGGTGTTATCAAGCTGGAAATACTGATCACACTTCATGAGCCATCCAAGAACATCTCCTCTCTGAATTTTGGAAACTCCATCTTGGTAAATCGGGGTAGGAGGTTGATATTCTCGTTCTTGTCTTGGTCGCTGGCGTCCTTCTCTAATTCTTCGCTGGTGTCCTTTTGCCTCGTTGGAGTCGGTCTCGTGATGAATTCGAGACTCTTCTACGTGCGGACAAGTTTTGCGATCTGGGCAGTGAGCCCCTCAATCTGGTTTTCAACCATCGTGAGTCTTGCATCTGTTTCTTCAGCCATCCTTGTTTGTAGACAAGTGACGGGCATATGAGGGAGGAAGGACTGGCTCTGATGCCACTGTTAGGATAGAAAGAGATGAAGAGAGAAGAAGAAGAAAGATAGGTAGACGAGGAGGAGAGAATAGAGAGACGCGTAGAAGAGACGTTCTGAATAGTACGTTTATTAAAATGAGTTTCAACAACAACACTGTGCATCTGGACTTGGGTATTTATAGGGCTGGACCATTAGACTAAATATTAGTAACAGCACCGACCCAAGGAAATAACATTTATACCCCTGCCCTAACTAATTCCTAATATTTTCATATCAGAACCATACTAGTGCGCACAGAATAAATCCTTAGCAGTCCATCTTATGGAAATGTATGCATGCATGTACACATCTATGACCGTTTTTGCATTAATTGTACCATGAATTTGTGATCTATCATTTCATTTTCTCTTCTCTCAGTAATCAAATATTTTTTCTTCTATTGCAGGAACATAGCACACATGTTAAAAGTGAAAATCATGAAAGCGCATGATCATGGTCGCTGGCAAGACCTGCACATACCTTCTAGGTCAATATTCTTATCAAACATACAGGAATGAATGCCATTGAAAGTTCTAATTAGTGGATCGATGATAGATCCCTGCATTTTTCCCTAGCTGAAGGTTTAGCACTCTAATTTAGTTTGCACTTATTTCTAATAGTTTCTCCCGTTGTTGTCATAAATATTCATGTTTTTCCAAAACACATTTTGCTTTTGTTGATGACGGGATGATTAGTGTCCGATATGGGCCATATTTTGTAAGGATTTCTAAAGAAAAAGTGTCATTGAGCACTTCTTAAATACTTCCTCTGATTCAAAATATATGTCCAGTTTAACTAACTTAAGGGACTGAGGGAGTTAAAAATAGGTCAACTCATTAAATTGTCCAAAAATTACACTGCTTTCCTGTATTATTCTTATTGATAACTCTAAATTTTAATATACAGCATCAGGTCAATTGTGTGTCTTAACTTGCCTAGCTTTTCTGGTGGTTTGAATCCTTGGGGCATGCCAAACGGAAGGAAGCGTCATGAGGTCAATTTTCTCTGCTAATTCTGAACAGTTTTGAGTTAAATTTCTTTATTCCCTGGGTTGAGCTCAATTCTGGGGAATAACTGATTTTCATGCAGCTCTCTGTTTTTTTTTTCCCCTGGGAAGAAAAAAAAAACTCTAAATAACACATGGTCTCTGTTGGAGCACAGGGAGGTTTGACACCGCCATTTGTGGATGATGGTCTTCTAGAGATCGTTGGTTTTAGAGATGCCTGGCATGGACTTGCTTTGCTTGCTCCAAATGGACATGGAAGGCGTCTTGGTCAGGTACGTGTGGAATGAGCAAAAGTGGGAAACTAGTTTTAATTCCAAAACTACCAAGATTACCCCCAAAAAAGAATCATTATAAGTAGATGTTAAGGAGGAAAACCAAAACCAAATATACGGGATTTCAAGCTGTCCTGGTTATCACCAAGTAAAAAGTTGGCTGTAGTCTAATGATCACACGTTCATTACTTGAGATCATGGACTAAGCCTTCAATTTGATTAACATGGCACTTTTATGTCCTCTGTTGGCATCAGGCTCACAGAATCTGCTTTGAGTTTCACAAAGGAGCAGCAGATCATACATACATGAGGATCGATGGGGAACCATGGAAACAACCTCTCCCACTTGACGATGACACTGTTGTGGTTGAGATATCTCACCTTGGCCAGGTCAACATGCTTGCCACTCATGATTGCAGTTCTAAAAGTGTGCATGATGCATCAAAAACACACCATGATGATGCGGAGGAAGATGATAGTGAAGATGAAGACTCTACAGCTGAGGAGTTTCGGAAGTTTGGCACAGCAGATACCTTTAAAATCCCAGATGGCGTTGATCTTTCCCATCTTAGTTAGGTCTTTCACCATTAAAGCCAGTATCGTGTATTCTACGTAGTTGGCAAACTTGGCATTTCTTACCCCAATAGCATATTGATGCAGGGACCTTTTTAATACGGTTTTCAATTTGTCATTGCTCATTGCTGTCTTTAATTGGGAAATTAGGGTTGAAATAAAGAATTTGAATAAAAACCTTGAAGGGTTGAAGGTTTTTTCCGGTATGTTAGCCCAGAAATATGGAGACACATTTTCTCCCTGCAAACAAACAACTATGTTGTGATAATTACTTTTTTTTTTGACTGATATTAATAAATTTGATTTTTGAATTGTTCTTATTTTTAACTAGCCGTTGTATTGGTTACTATATTAGCCGTAGACGACGTCGAAGTCAAACTACGAATAGTTCTTAAGAACTTTACTGACCAAAAACTCGACCATATCCTTGCAAAAAGTTCTTTACAATAAATAACTCGATGAAATCTGATCGTGGCTTAGGAAAAAAAAAAGGCATTAAATCTGGGCAATGATTTCTCAATCGAAAAACCGTTCTCTACCCGTGAGCAGATTAACTGCACATATGTATATGTACCTTTTACAGGCACCAAATATCTGCAGAAATTGAAGGACAGAGATGAGCATAGTTTTACTTGTAACCACACTATACATTCCTCGAGGCCAGCAATTGATAATTGATAATTGATAATATATTAAATATATATATATATCTGCCGCCGAGGAAAACAGTACATTTAAAAGGGGAAGATATAATCATATTGACAGGGTGAGGGTTCAGCTGGATCACCGTGAGAGGTAATACATTAAATACAACATGTAGAACCAAGCTGATAACAGAGCCTGACTGATTATTCAAGAACCAAGAAAAATGAAGCCGAGGATGCGCAATCATCATGGGGAGATAGTTTCATTAATGTCTAGAGGCCAGAAGATTGATACTTTGTCCCCAAAATTTTGAAATGGCCTCATTAACCGTTTGAGATTCAGTCCTTTCTTCTCTTTTCTTCTTCTCCCTGAAGCAATATATCATTTCAAAATGTCAAAACCTTGATATGAAAAGCAAGTAAATCAAAGTTTTATTATGTACCAAGAACAAGAAGTAGATTGACAACTTCAGCCTTAAATAGAACTCGTTTAAAAAGAATTTCAGCATTATAAATTCATAAATTATGCAAATTTATTTTGTCTTGGGGCTGGAGATAGTGACAAAATTACAAATGACTGTCATCCGAAGATCTGAATTTTACCTGTCAACATATTCCCTCAGCAGCTCTTTTGCCTGAACCAACTTGGAAAGCAGATTACGGTACACATCCAAATCCCTATCAACACTTCTTTTATTGATGTTCAGAGCTACACAAAGCTGTTGAGATGACAGTATGGATTACTTGAGCAATAAATCATATAAAAAAGTTATGGACTTATTCAAGAGCAAGTTTTACTGTCTGCAAATGAGGCTTGGAGAAAGAGTTTCAAGGCCATTTATTCAACTCAGTTATTCCAAATAGGCCGACCTGATGGCATCTAGATATGTAGGACTTTCTTGGATGTCTACTTTGCTTACAACTCAAGAAAATGTAAACTAAACTTGGCAGAATATGTTCAAATCATTATCATATGACACATAACAATGCAAATATTTGTAAGTTCGAATGAAACAGCCATGATCCCTAACCATACCTTCTCCAAAATGGCCGGTTCTGTCGCATTTGCCAGCTCAAGAAGTCGAAATAGACCAATTGCAAAGAAACGACTATAACTGAAATCCCCCTTGCCACCTGCTCTTTCTGCGATATTCTTTAATACCCCCTCCACCTCTCCTTCTCTGGAAGAAAACTCAACCAGGGAAGTTGGGTTCTGAGCCCGGGCCCACTCTTCCAACTTCTGTGCATCTATTCTGTAGAGGCCCATACATAAGATCATTTATGATACAGAATTCTCAATGCAAGTTATTCAAATTCCCACAAAACAACGAAATGTTGACAGACAATGCTACTTCCATTTTTGCAAAAAGACCTTCCTTTTTATCTTAGAGACTCAACTTCTGTCTCAATGTTATTGTGTACCAATTCATGTTTCATGCCCCATAAATGACACTGGAAGGCACTTATTGACAGATGTGAAACAAACATTTCATTCTTTAATTCTTGTGATTCACAGTTAAGAATAGAAGACATATAAAGAAACAAAATAACTAGATCAATTTTGATTAGTTAGTTTATCTTGTTCAGGCTATGACATGTCTATTTATATGTTAAAAATAAAAAATAACTAGATCAATTAATTACGGAAGGAATCAATTATTCTATCTTCTAACCTATATCGTTCTGGCTCTTCCTTCAATGCCTTAATATATGCTTGGAAGATGTCATCTCGATCTTCATCACTAGGATACCCATCCATGAGTTGATCGTACACAGTGACAAAACCAAGTGCAAATACGGGGTCATAACGGTAAGATCTCTTGTATCTCATTAAATGTTGCTGAACAATGAGCTCCTGAAGCACAGTGTTGTAGATACTAGGGATTGGCCGTTTATATGCCTTGAGGAAATTTAACTTTGTCTCGGCTACAGTGGGAACATCTGCAGATCAAAAAGGTGGACAACCCGTGACGAACATTAAAATGAAGAGGTTTATTTTTCATTTTTATTGCCTCTGCCCCAATTGCAGCACGAGTCTCTAGAAAGATGAAAGAAACAAGTGCGGAACTATCAGCAAACAAATACAAAAAGCATATCTGCTCCTCACACAATCGCACTATGGACTTGAAGTGTAGACAAAGCACAAACTCAAAATACCATTTGTCGAAACATGATTAATAATTAGGAGTATGTGGAAATGGGAACAATCATACTGAACTCTTTACCACTTGGCAATGAAGCTACAGCTCCCATACCTAGTCAAGGACTACTTCAGCCTAAAACCTTAAGCTATTAAGTGGATGCTTAAAATTGATTTTTATATCTCTACCAGTTGCTCCAACAAGCTTTGACACTCCATTATGCGTATAAATGTCAAATGGATTGGAAATGCTTACAACAGACAAAGCCCCCGATATGCAATTTTAAGAACCTCTTCCTTTTTAAGAAGAATACGCTGGTGGGTGAATTAGAAGTGCGTCCACAAGAACTTAGATTACAAGAAATTCCAAAGGAGAATAGAACGTGAGATCAATCAGGAAATTTCCCAAATATAAACTCAGAAGTAATTGCATTCTGGTTGTTACTGTGAAATTGTGAAGTTCAAGCGTTTGCAGAAATTCAGGCACAGTACTCAACAACAGCAATAGTATTTAGCAACAACCGCAAAGAGAATCTAAGGAATATGTATTCCCTTCGATTGGGTAACATCACCCCTTGGAAAAATTTTCCAGGGTTTCCTTGATAGATATGAAGTTGCTACACTTAAAAATCAGTAAAAGCACAGGTTTTTATTTCATTAATAAATAAAAACCTGCAGTTTAAGAGTAACTTGCAGAACCAGAGTTTCATCGAAATCGAACTTTAAAAGAGTCAATATATCAAACGCCAAATGGGAAACGATTTCGTGAATATGTAGGACATCCAATCATGATAACAATAGGAATCAACAAATGAAGCTTAGTAACCCTTTAGTAAATTTGAACTTCAGAATTCTTAAAAAGATTTAAAACGATAACAGAAAGTTCATAACTCACCCCTTCCCGAAATCTTCCTCGAAAATCAGAAATAAGGAAAGAAGCAAATAGATACCAACCTGTCGCGGAAGACATGCATTGAATAATCAGTTTAGAAGTGGAATTGGAAGCTCTAACGCCAGCATAGTGATAAGAAATATTCGTCCGAAACCGCAATGCCTCCGAATTGAACCCGAGGAAGCGAGTGGAAGGGACAGCTGGCTTTCTTTCAGAACATTGGGTTAACGCGAAGAAGGACAAAGAAGTAACGGCTGCCATTGAAGGGAATAGTAGCAATGAGAGAGAATGAGATGATGTAATCAGAGTGAGCGAAATTGCGGCATGGCGGGTTGATTATGAGGGGAAAGGTAAGACTTAAGAGAGAAAGCAGCACCGTTGGGTTTCGAAAGTCCGTGAGAGAAAAAGCTTATCCAGAGTGTGATACCGAAATTTTTGTGTGTTTTCGAAAGGGCCGGTAGAGTGATGACACGTGGAACGCGTAGCGAGGTTGGGTTCTCTCGGGTTTTCAAGTAACGTTGTTGCTTGGAGTCTCTCATTTTTTCCTCTCTCTTCTTCCTTTGCGTGGACTTCGGCGTTGGCTTCCATTTCCAGTTCGACACTCCCCTTGTCTTGTACGCTTGTGAAAAATTGACAAATAATCCTTTTATACATTTTTTAAAAAAGGAAAAAGGTTAAGGTTTTTTATTATTCAACAACGTATTTTAAATCTTTTTTTAGTGAAAAAAGAATTATGATGAAAGTGAATCACCAAAATTTCTCTCAACTCCATAGGTTTATGAAGAGCAACTTTTTGCAGGTATCTAGGGGATGGGGGAAAAAAAACAAAGAAAAGCAACTTCGATTTCTCTCTTGAGCTTTGTGGCGCAATTCCATTTCTTCATTGACTAGGCAATATTTAGTCTCTGGGAGACCGAGACCGAGACCGAGACCCGGGAGCGAATAAAAATCATCGTTGTTGATTTGGTTTCTTTTTACCAATATCGTTTGAGTTAAAGTTTTGAGATAACGACCTTTCAGACGTTTATTATATATGATATATTATGGGTTTAATAGTTAGTCGACGTACAATTAAACAAGTGTAATCTTGTTAAGCTTCAACCACGGTCAAACTCAGATCCAGTTGCAGTGATAGTGTTAATCAATAGTAAGTCTGTCATGCCTACAAGTGAGATGGGCCATGGACTTGAGGTGATCCCCTCCTTTCCCATGCATATGGAACAGTGAATATTGCCCTATCAATGACTGAGCTCGCACCAACGAGAGTTAAGTCTCGCATAAACAACTAATGAATCAATATTTAAATTTTTATTAAAAGATATGCAATCATATTTAGTATTCATCCTTGTGGGTAAAGGGGGAAAAAAGACTGAGCCTCCTGAAAGCACTACAAGCTAAAATGACCCTCAAGATACGAACGTGAAACAAGTTCATGCCATGAGTTAGGTGGATTAAATTCGGGAAGATTAGTTCTAAGCGTCCGGCTAGGGGGATAACCAATAATCACACATGACCAATGGTAAACACTATAGGTGTGAAGATTGCTCACTTCTTATAGGCCCAGGAAGGCTACTAATTAATCATGATTCTTTCTCAATTCCTGGTTTCACTGAATGAAGGATCAGAGTAAGCACCCACTGCTGATGAAAAAGCTTACTGAATCATGACTTGTAATTCCAAAGCTAAAGCATATATAGTGTGCAATTACCAGGGATAACATGGAAGGTTTCAACCTGGCATAAGCTAAGTCACCTCATTCGTCAGTCACTTCCCCTGTTTGGTCAACTCTTGTCAGGTTAATGAATTTGAATGAATCATATATTCATTATATTGCGTAGAGATACCTATTTACAGTTCCTTCATCAATAATGGCTCGTGAAGCTATATTTTTTAAAAAGCGAGGGGCTCATCATTAAAAGTAAAAGATATTAAAAGTAGGGAATATGCTAATAATTTTTTAAATTATATAAATAAAATTTTAATTTTTTAAAATATTATAATTCTCATAAAGTTTTTAAAAATTTTTTTGTCATTAAAAAATTAGTATAAATAATTAAATTATTATTAATTTAAATTTATGAATTATTATTAAATTTTATAATTTAAAAAAAATTGTGAATCTTAAAATAAAACTCATAAATAGAAGTTGATATTTGAATTAAAGACAATTTGATCATTTACATTAATTTCTTGATAACAGAAATGTCTCCAAAGGTTTCAAGAAAATTATGATATTTTAAAAAATTAAAATATTATTTATATAATTCAAAGAGATTTGATTGTCATCTTCCCTAAAAAGTATAAAAAAAGAAAATAACATTAAATGTGATTAATCTAATTTTGATTCAGACAACATAGATTGATTCGAAATTGCTTCTAGTGTGGAAGATCTCTATGGTTATATATAGGGGTTGAAGCTTGCTAAACAAGCCAACGCTTAAGTAGTTAAAGACTGTAACAATTATTAAGACCAGTATAAAAGAATATGAGAATTTGGATTCGATTCCTGTCTCAAGTACAGACACATAGTGCTTGTTTCATTCGAGTTATTAAAATTTAAAATTATTAATATAAATTTCAACTAGTTAAATAAGACAAGTACTTAGTATGTGCACTAGGATAGCACTGAATTTAAATCCGAGTGCATGAAAGCTTCAATCTTGATGTTGGACTACTGTTCATATAGCCCTAGGGCACCGGAATCCAACTCATATATTAGGTAAAAAAAAAAGTCAAACTTGAATAATATATATAAACATTTAATTTAGAAAAATTATCCGGTACTTAGGGCGTATTGTATTGTATTGTATTGTTTATATTCTGATTAATAAAAAAAATAATTAAATATTGTCAATACACTCATATATAATCTCCCCACTTGTTATTGACGTATTATTTCGTCTTTTTTTTAAATTAAAGATCTTCTCTCTTATCGATTTTCATCATAAAGAGGATGTGTGAAATGGCACTTTCACAGTGTAATTATCTTTCCATAAGTTCCCGCTGATAACTCCATGAAGTGAAAGCCCCCTGATGAGTTGGAGCTTGCCAGCTCGCGTGAGTCCTACTACGTACCCTACGGCCTTTTAGGTGCCAAGATAAGAGAGGAAATGCTTCATCTTTCGGACTTTCCACTGATAATATATATATATATATATATTGACGATCAATCTTATCCGATCTACACGGGGTCACATGAATATATTCGTTCTCATCCAGTGCTTGATATTCATCCTGCTTCTACATATTTTACAATTCCTTTTTCACTCTAACGTGAGACTCAATCAACAGTACAAGAATCAGGGTTTCGGAAGAAGCTGGTTATGGATTAATTGAGGATATATATATATATATATATTAAGCAAGCTGCTTTTAATTTATGTCACGTACACCTCTTCATCTTTGCCGCAGATTACAGAATCTTGTCCTTGTTTTTCAATTTTCACTATGATATCTGAAGCTAAGCGCCAAGCAGACAATCAAGCGTGACAGGTGGCCACTTGTATATTTAATTTGTTTATTTATAGTGCAGTACAAGTTGAACTAGTTATATATGGAAATTTTTGAAGATGGTTTGATCAAGCCTACCCGATCTTGATCACACCTGTGAAATATTCCGAAGTAGTTCCGAAAATGGAAGGAATCAAAGGTCCAAGGAAACAATACATGATTGGTTCTCCGAAAGGATGCTCAAGGCAAAAGACACAGATTAATGATAATGTTCATCATCAGGCAGGAAAAACCAGTAGTATTACTACTGATGCTGGAAGGTTCAAGCAAGCAGAAGAAACCCTCCGCACCGTGATGTATTTGAGTTGCTGGGGTCCTAACACCTAAATCCTCATTTATTACTTTTGAGTCAGCTGGCAAGTATCATCTTTTCTTGTTACTACTACTGCTTGTGTAATTTGTATTCATTTTCTCTAGTAATACCCTGCAAGCTAGCTGAGTACTGTTCATAGAGTTGTTGTGTCGAGTCTAAATAAAGACCCTATTTTATGTGCTCTTCTAACATCAGAAACAGAATATGATTAATGAAAAGTAGCCCTCTCACTTGACTTGAGAAGGTATAATGCTACTCGTTGCGTAGTAATGACTTGAATAATTAGTTTATCATGCTCAGGGACCTCTGAGAACTTTCTGTTCAAGCAAAAAATTTGAAACAAGTTAACGAAGCCGCTATTAGGGTTCTTTTCTCTTGTCAAACATTTAGCTCCATTTGATGCACGCTTGAATATATGCGTATAATAAAATGATCATTATGTGAGCAAGTAAAGCATGTGATCCCCTCATCCACCCATCTTTAATTTATTTAGAACCTATTTTTTTTTTTTTCTATGGATCATAAAATTTAAATGGCTAAACTTGACCGAGATAATAACAAAGAACAGACAAAAAGAAGTTAAATGCATACATCAAATAGCTACGTACAAAGAAGTGTGATATGTTTGTTTAGATATGGTGGAAAACAAAACAGAGGATATGTATATATATGTATGTATGTATGTATATACATGGCATATTTAAAGCCTTTCCTCTAACACTTGACAAAGTGATAACTGAGAACCGTGGTACAAAAATAAAAACGAAAACATATGGAGTTTATTATACGAGTATTTATTTATCTGGGTCACCACAATATAACATGCATGAGCGTTTCAGCGCTCTCTATTTTCTTCAACTTGTATTTCTTGTTTGCTCCCACCATCTTCACGTTGGCTTCTTGTCCAGCAAGACGCCTGACCTTGTAGTTCCCTCGCTGCGTCGCACTCACAGCGGGCGCCAGATCCTGTGAGGCAAGCTCATTCATGGCTTCAAATTGAACCAGAAACAGCTTCCCCCTTATTCAAGGGCGAACCCTCAGCAGTGCGAGTCTATGCATATGTAAGCAGTTCCGTTTTATATATGGCATTTTTGTTGGTCTAACGAAAAGGAAGCCATTATAATAATTGATGATCGAGACTGATGGACAATAAATGTGGCTCTTCTGGTTACGTTAAAACTGAGCTATCTGATAAAATAAAGCTCAGCAATGACCTTTCATGACACTTGGAATGAATTCGAGTAGTAATTGGTGAAACTGCATCCTTTAAAAGTTCTTTATATGCATTTTGCTTTATTTATAGGGTTAAAGGTAACATTTATCTTTGAACTTTACCCATATTATCTCTTGATATTCTAAACCCCACATTAGGTTATTTTTGTCCTGTTATATAGGTCATTTTTGTCCTTCATATTAATGTGCTTAACGGCCGTTATGTAAATCCATCATTTGCATTTTTTAATACTTTTTTATAAGGGTTGATGGTTATGTTCCCCTAACCTTTTTCTTGAGATTTGTGGTACCTTAAACTCAATTTAAATTTTTTTTTTATCTTTGAATGTTTTAAATTGTATTTTTATAATAAAATATTATGTGTGAGTTTCATTCTTCTTCTTCCTCTCCCCTCTCTTTTCTCCCCACGTTCTCTCTCCTCCACTCTTCTTCTCCATGCTTTTTGCAATAGAGTTGGTTATTCGAGCAAAATCTAAATTAAGCTTAAAAAAATTTAGAATGAAGCTCAGTAAAATTATTAAGTTTGGGGTTAGTGTTTGGCCTGAATACTGAAATCAAAAATTATTTTTTAAAAAAATTACAGATTATATATTAAAACATTTTTCATTTGAGTATTCACGTAAAGTCTTAACTTGATCATATTTGGCTTGGATTTGTCAAGTTGACCCAAAAAAGCTTGAACATTAAAATATGATTATTTTACTAAGTTCAGCCTCAAAATTTTCTAGCTTATTTGTGCTTGACATGAATTGTTGGCTTTGCAAAGCCGGAGAGAAATACTAAAGGAATGTTGGGGAGAAGAAGAAAGCTAGAACCCATGTGTAATATTTTATTATGAGAATAAAATTTAAAACATAATTTAAGGAAAAAATACCAAAAATCAATTTTAAGGTAGCCGCAAACTTTAGGAAAAAATGTAAAGGCAAAAATAATCATTAATTTTAATAAAAAAAATTAAAAAAATGCAAATGATGGGATCCACACAACTGCCATTAAGAGTGCTAATGTCGGGGACAAAAATTAAATAACCCATATAATGGCCATTGAGGGACAAAAATAATCCAGAGTCGAATTCAAAGTATCCGTATATCTCAAAGGTAAAGTTGATCAGTAGCAAAAGTGATCCCTTATTGAGAGATAAAAGAGATGAGTAGATATTGATAGCAACACTTGATTTTAACCATTTCTATGTGGTGGTTCTTTGGACCCCACCTCACCTGCTTCAATACAAACAATGGATTCATTTCCAAACTAGGGTCTGAAATAACAGACCAAGCGTCAAGTGATTCTCGCAAAACCATGTGCCGCATAAGAATCCCCCAATGAATGCAAAGTTGAATCACTAACGATTTTGGGTTCATTTGGTAGCTGATATAGTGATACATGGCCCCACCATAAATGAGATCCATTGGCTATGATGACACCATTTCTGCAAGATCCATGCAAGTGGTGAACTCATCTTAGTTTGTTTTACTAAACTAATTTCAATTTCAAGCAGTGATTACAACCCCTGAAAGGTACACAGAAAAGAAGGGATCAAAGGTATTGCAAATGGAACAGCCAGACAAGGTCAGAAGCTCAGGCTTCTTCAGTCATTTCAAAGAAACCGATAAGAAATAATGAGAAGGTGAAAAAGTCATCAGAGGAGTCTCTAAGAACAGTCGCGTACTTGAGTGCTGGCTAACAGCTAGAAAAGCAAAATTTATGTGACAGAGTTAGGGTGCTAACCTGCTATCAATGTGCACCTCGGAGTTTTGATATTGATAATTGTATATATAAATACGTGCTCTTGTTTTTCTAGAGATAAGGGCATCTAAACTGTGACTGTGACCGCTCTCCTGAGTTCTGACTCTGGATATCAATAAAAATGAAAGAAAAATCATCGGGGAGATTGATTTACGCGTCCCCGGTTTACAGGATTGATGTAAATACTGAATAGTGATGATAGATGGGGCAATCGTTGGAGTAACACTACTCCATTAAGAATATGGTGTCTTCATTTCAGAATGGATGTTTTGTTCAAATCTTATTATATAGCCAAGGAAGGAGTAGAGATGATGATAATGATCCTTCCTCGACATAATTATTTTCTTTACATTAATAATTTACCTATTTATTTACTATCATATATAAATTGATGCCAAGTTTGAATTATTTAATTACCCACGAACTTCACAAGAAAACGAGAGGTGTTGATTCCCCTGGTTTTCATCCCCCGCGTCTATAATATATAATATAATATAATGTAATGATAGGCCATTTGCGTCCAAAGCGAGAGTCGCTACGTGGAAATTTCTCTTCCCTAAGCAATTTGGGATTGGGCAGCTGTTGACACTTGTCGCTGACATGTGCTAATACAGCAGAGGAAGAGGATAAACTGATAGAGATAAAGAATAAATAAATATTACTTTAACATCTTTAGCCCATCAAACAGGGGAAAGGGCGGAAAAACCAGAGGCTTTCCCGCCCCCAGGAATTCTCGCACAGACCCTGGTTTTCTACAAGTTTGGCCTTTTCTTCTTCTGTTTTACCGATTCAGGCATCTAAGACCTCACTTGTATATAACAACCACATATCCCTCCCCCTCTCCATCAAGCATAAATCTTGACACTGATATACCATTCCTCAGTGAAGAACACTTTTAGCGAACTTCAATAGTTTCTGAGAAGAATAGAAACATGGGTTCAGCGAGCAGAGCCTGGGTTGTAGCAACGAGTGTTGGAGTTGTGGAGGCCTTCAAGGACCAAGGAATTTGCAGGTGGAACTCTGCTTTGAGGTCTATTGAGCAGCATCTGAAGAATCAGGCTAGGTCTATCTCTCAGGCTAAGAAGCTTTCTTCTTCTTCTGCAGTGGTTTCCAGAAGACGTAAGGGTGATAATGCAAATCAATCAGAAGACTCCCTCAGGACGGTCATGTATTTGAGCTGCTGGGGTCCTAATTAGAACCGAAGGGCGGCGGCGGCGTCGTCGTCGTCGTCTTTCTTTTTTGTAACAAAAAAATTGTTTGGACCCTTGTGAAAGTCGAAAGGACTGATGTAAATTTTGATAAATGTTAGATGCAGTGTGATCTAACACTTGCGAATTTCAAGCATGCTCGTTGGTGGTGTTTTTCTTTTTACTTTCATATGCTTCGTTTCAGCGTGGAAACTCCACTTCGTGCGAAGCCTTTATTTTCCCTGAAAAACTGATCCGACAAGTGTAGAACAAGAATATTTTGTACGACTAGGAAGAATTCTGTCTGATCAGGAATTTGTTACAGTCCAGGCTCATATATACTGGGAAAGAGGACTGGAACTCAAGCCACAGCGGCGGAAAAATAGCAAAGTGGATTTTCATGTGGAAATCAGAAAATGAGAAGTGTGCCTGTTTCGATTATTCTATCAAAATGAACATAGATTGTTGAACCGAAGTCTGCCACTCAACAGTACCTAGACGCTCGATTCAAAATTTGGAAAAATAGGGCAAATTGACCTTCATGTTATAAAAGAAATTATTTATTATAATACTACTTTTTTAATAATATTTATTTAAATGTCATAAATTTAAAATTCGGTGTTAATAGTTTCAAAAAAATATTTTTATCAAGAACGTACAGAAAACTCTATTTAATTTAAAAAATAAATATTTATCTCATTATCTTTTTCATTGGCGGAATTTTTTTTGTCAGATAGTTTTACTTAATTTAAAAAAATTAAATATATATTTTATTTTTTCTCTCTTCCAACTACATTTTAATCAATTATTTAAGTAAAATTTAAATTATACAATTTTTATTTTAACATCCTTAATTTCATTAAAAATTAAATAATTAATTAAAATTTTTAAAAACTCAAACTATATCTGGCTTTAAGTTTTCTATCATCAAAAAATAAAAAATCAAAGAGAGTGTGATTAAAAAAATATTTAAAATACTTATATAATTTAAAAAAGCTTGAGATCATATATAAAATATCTTATTATAAAGATTATGTATAAAATATCTTATTATGGACCTCTCCATCTCAATTTTTCACTATGTACTGTGCGAGAAGAAGGCAGAAATAAATAAAGAGGAAGTGATATGTATAGAAGAATAAATAGAATTAGAAATAATAAGATAAGTTAGTGGCTCTACATTTCGCTATCCATTCTATCTTTCTTTTTGTGTTTTTTTCTTTTAACCTTCTTCCTTCTTTTCTTTTTAATAATTAATAATCTATAAAATTTTCCCCACCCACATATTATGTAATTTTTATAGTACTTTTTTAATATCTTAAAAATTAAACTCTACTAATATATTTTGTTAAACACAATTTTTTTAATATTTATATGATTATAGTTTTTTTATTTAGTTTTGAGGAGTAAAAATAGAGATGTTACAATGATTTAGTGTCATTTACAATATCTCAATTGAACAATTTTAAGGATCTACAGTCATTTAATATCACTTATGGTATAATCTAAAATATGCTAGCAATTTTATTATTTTTATATATGATAACTTAATATCACTTAAAGCATCTCGTTTGATAATTTTAGAGATTCGTGGTAATTGATTCGGTTAATCCAAGTGTTTAATATTGTATTAAACATTAATATTTTAATTTCAATTGATTAAAAACTTCAATTGATTATTTAATCTTTCATGGAGTTAATAAGATTGAAATAAAAATTGTATGATTTAGATTTTACTTAGAGAATTGATTAGAACTTAGTTGGAAGAAAAAGAGAATGAGATGTATATTTAATTATTTTAAAATTAAATAGAATTTGATTTGATAGAAACTAAATTTTAATAAAAAAAATTTGATTGAAGAGCGAAATGATGGGACATATTTATTTTTTAAAAATTAAATAGATTGACAAAAAAATTTAATTTTTAGGTAAATATTATTGAAAATGTAGTATTGTGATAAATAATTTCTTTTTATGACATGAAGGACAATTTGCCAAAAAATAAAGATTACGCCAGACTCTTGATTTATCCTGTCTGAGGCTTTTACTTTTTTTGGGACCGTACTACCCGACATAATTATATTCTTTGCGTTACTAATTTACCTATTTATCCAATATCATATGCAAAATTTTGCCGAGGCCGAGTAATTTACCTATTAATTACCAATAACAAGTTGGTCCGGAAAAAGAAGCCAACAACTTCACTAGTTCGCTGGAAAACCAGCCGTTTTTTGGTTCTCAATCCCGCTACATCCGTGATCAATAATCAAATATACACTTTTAAATAGGACTGTGTAAAAGTTTTGTGGTCTCGTTCGGTCCGGTCTGACATATAAAAATTCAGTCCTGTCCAGTCCTGTAAAATGCTGGTCCTATAGGACTAAAAAAATTAAAAAGACAGGACTGATTTTTTGGATAAGACCAGACTAGAGACCAAGCATTTGGACTAAGTAGTCCGATTTGGTCTTATATAATTATTTTAATATAATTAAAATTAATTTATAAATTATTAATTAATAAGCCTTAGAAAAAAAGTCTTAATCCTGCCTTGTACTTTGCACTCTGATCGAAAAAAAAACCTCAACACTATTACTCAACAGCACTTAGCGTCTCAGCCACTCACTCAACTTTGCTCTCATTCTCAATTTTTTCAGTGTGCCAAAGCTTCTAGCCCCTGCCTTACACTTTGTACTCTGATCTTGATCTGTTCAAACTTTGAAGGAACATGTTTGTGGATTGATTTTTATTACTTCTGTTCTTGTTGATTTTTTTCCTCTGATCTATTTTCGGTCTTTCCTCTGATTTTTTATTGAAGTTATGTATTTAAATCATTTAGAGTTTGGACTGTAACTAAAATATTATTTTCTTGGTTTTAGAAATTATTATGGATTTATTATGATTATAAGTGTTTTATTATCTTAATTGAGTTTGTTAAATTGAAATAGATTATTGATCATCATAGAGAAAAAAAAGAAAAAAAAGGCCAAGTGGGTATTGGACTAACAAGACCAGTCTCCCAGTCCTATGGACCAAGTCCAGTCTTGTTAGTCTCCGGGTTTTCACAGGACCAGACCGGACTACGGGTTACCTAAGCCAATCCTTTTCATAAAAAGGACCAGACTTCGGGTCAGATTAAAGTTCAATCCCGTCCAGTCTCTTGTGCAGCCCTACTTTTAAATATACTCTCTCCCATCACATTTAAAAACTAATAATTTTTATTTTTTCATATTATAAAAAAAATATTTATAATTTTAAATAATGATATAACTATATTAAATATCTTTACATTAATTAAAAATAAAATTAAAAAATGATTTAATTATTACATTCTATATTTTAGAATAAAAATTATTTTTAAAAAATACCCTACAAATAAAACTGAAGGAATTACAAGATAAGTAACTTGCACTCTCTATCTCAAATTATAAAATATTTTTAGATAAAATTTTACATACTAATAAATTTCATTTAATATACTTAACAATCTTATCTTTTTCAAAATAAAAATATAAACTTTTAAAAATATCCATCATTTAATATTTAAAAAAAAGGACATAAATTAATTATAGAGAGAGAAATGATAATATTAAAATTAATATATTTAATAAAATCTTAATTTATTCAAAGTGTTTTATATTTTGAGACAGAGAAATTCATTTAAAAATACTCTATAATTTGAGACGGAGGGAGTAAAATCAAAAAAGATTAAGGGTCATTTTTGTCCAGTGTACACAAAAAGTTACAAATATCCTAAACTCAACTATGAGTTAATTCTATCTCTCAACTTTAAGAATCCTCTCATTATCCTAACGTTAAAAATACATAACGTCCGTTAGTTATGAGTAGATCTCACAATTTTTAAAATACCTTTTATCAGGTTAAGGGTCACTTTTGCCCCTCAAGTCCTATTTGAAGGGTTATTTTTATCTCTCAATTTAAATATTTTATAATAAAAAATATTAAAAAAATATAACATGGGTCCTTCTAACAATTAACTAATGATAAGAAAATGAGAAGGTAATGAGAAAGAAAATTTTTAAAATTAAAAAATAAAATTAATTCATAATTAAATTTATGATATTTATAACTTTTTATATATTGTTCAAAGATAAAAATAATCTTTAACCTAATAAAAAATAAGAGGAATGATGAGGCCTATTTCATCATATTTTTATTTTTCTGTTTTTAAATGTTTTTGTTTAATAAAGATTCCAAATTGTTTTCCAAATTAAGAAAAACATGTGTTTGATCATGTAAATTTAAAAAATTTAGAAGCTAATAATTAATTCTGATGATTTATAATAATTATTGGTTAGGTTACTTTTCAATAGTAAAATGTAGTAGGTAGTGTGCTTTAAGAATAAAAATAAAAATAGATCAAAGATATTTTTTTTTTTTAAAAAATAAAACACTGATTCAAATGAGATTTTTAATGTTTTATTTTTAAAATCAGAGAATAATTTCAAAAAATAGAGATAATTTTATCATTTTAATAAATTCAAATAGTTTTCAATTTTTTTTTTTTTTAAATTCCAGTGGTGTCTTCTCTATAATGCAATTGGGTAGCCGTTGTTGGCACTTGGCACGTGACACTGACATGGGCACATCCAGCGGAGCGAGAGGATAAAGACTGAGACAACTTTATCATTTTGTCATTTCTTTCTTTCTTGATTGTTTTTTTTTTTTTTTTTTTTTCCTTCCCCGTTTCATTGCGTGGGTTATTTTAAGGGAAAATCATAATTAAAAATCATTGGACAAAATTTATCATTCTAATATTATTCTGAAGCACTAAATAACTTAAATGTAATTAAAAATTACTGTAAAAAATAAAATTACCCCTCATGTATATATATACTATCTCTGTTAAAAAATATAAGGTATTTTTAACAATCTTACCCTTTAATGAATTTCTTACCTACTTTTAAATTAATCTTATTTTTTATATTTATTTCTATTAATTATTTTATGATAAATATAAAGTCATCATCAATAGGGATACTTTAAAAAAAAGTAATGATGACACTTTGAAAGATTAAAAATATATTATATTTTTGAACATCTAACCCCTCAAAAAATATCTAATATTTTTTAACGGAAGGAGTATGTTTAACAATAAGTTCTCATTAAAAAAAGTTTTATTTTTATTTTAATAACAATTAATTTCTTTATTAATAATTTTAAAAAATTAACTTGACAATTGAGAGGAATAAGTATTATGCTTTGATGAATAAGTTTCATTCAAAAAAATTAAATATTATTTTTATTTTAACAATAATTAATTTCTTCACTAACAAATAACAATTTTAAAATATTGACTTGGTGATAAAGAAAAAGTGTGGTAATTTAATAAATAAGTCTCCATTAAAAAAATTTATTTTAATTTTAACAACAATTAATTTTTTTATTATAACAAATATATATATATATATATATATAAAAGATAGTTTTATCTTTTCATAATAAATTTTATTACATCTAAATCATTTGATCCTATAAATAATATCAAAATTATTTAGTTTTGTAGAATAATTAATTTTATCCCGTAATCCTTTATTGTAATTTTCCCTTCCTTTAATATCTTTCAGCACATTAAAAAGGGAAAAGGCCTCCAAAAACCAGAGGCTTTCCCGTCCCAGGAATTGTTGCGAAGTCCCTGGTTTTCCATGAAGTTTGGCGTTTTCTTCTTCCGTTTCACCGGATGGATCACACTCACACATGAATCTTCTCTCTACATTCTATATAAAAGTAAGAAACCCAGGGCTTGTTTATTTTTTATTTTTAAAAATTATTTTTTGTCTTTAAAAGTAAAAAAAATTAAAAATTTGTTTAAATGAGTGTTTTTCATTTAGTTATTTTTAAAACTTTTTCTTTTTTATTTTTGTAACAAAAATAATTATTTTTCTTATTTTAAGAATATACTAAATTTAATTATTAAAAATTATAATTACTTTAATTGATTTCTATTATTAATTATAATCATTCGATTCATTTTTAAATTTTAAAATATTTTTTCAATTAATATAATCAAACCAATTTTATTTTATTTTATACTCTGCTTTCCTCCAGGCTAAAAGACGACCCAATTAAAGCAGAAGGGAAGAACATTTTTTTGTAATTACTTCTTAGTTCTAAGCTTCCTCAAACCAGAAAATTGGGGATGAATTTTCCGGCGTCGTGTTAGTTTTAGTTAATTCTCCATGGTGGAGTGATGTAAACTTCGATGACAGTAATAGAAACGCCTGATTTTTTCAAGTTAAGCATGTGTTAATCTCTATTTTGAGTTCTGTGAAGATGTGCTTCATCCTTCTAAAGAGTTTCAACATTTACATACTGATACGTGCTGTATTTAAAAAAGAAAACAACCATGCCAACTGAACATAGAAAGGAAAATACAGAGCTGGTTATGATTAAAATTTTAGAAGGATAACAGAATGGATGTGGCTGTCATTTTGTGAATTTTGTTTACAGAGATTATTATATAATTGCCTCTCAATTTTTTCGTCTTTGATTAAAAAAAATGTTAAAATGAGGAAATTCTATCCTATGAACTGTGTGCTTCGCAATTAAAATTAAAAATGTTTGATTTAACTACTTGTTGCCCTGAATTTCTGAATCAAAAATAACTGGGGAGTGAATAATTCTCTATAACTTCAGTGTGAGTGGAAAGCCATATAGACATGTATCAATTATATGAAGATATGATTTCTTTTTAATATCACCATACCAATGTATGTTAATAATTCTCTTACAAATCAATAGTATTAGTTTATTAGTATATAGTAGAGTTTTATTTATTTTATCCTAGGCCAAATGGTTGAGATTTATTTACTTCACAACATTTTTTACTGTTCTTAATAGACATTAGAAGACAGGCATTGACCATAACGTCAATATTCCTAGGGGCCAAAGATTTTTGAAAAATAATGTGCTGATATATTGTAATTCAATTATTGATATCAGTATGTTGCAGCTACTGAGAACTTGAAAAGTAAACAAAGAATATGGAATTAATTAGTAAAGTAATGCCTTGCCTCAATGTGCAATGCATCCATTCACAATAGAATCAGCTAGTGTGTAATGTGTTAGTCAGGTGATCACTGTTTTATAATTTTGGTTTCATTATTAATTGTCTCAGCCTCGAATAACTGGATTCAACGTGCGTTTCCTTTGTCTTGAAAAGTAATGATCAACTCAAAAGATAGGGGTCTTTTGGAGGGTAATAAAATCAAAAGGCCTAATGGGAATCATGCTAAATGGCAAGTGGCCATGTGTGACAACCTAGTGATAAAGACATGTGATCCTATCGAGGAGGATACATTTAACTTGAATATGAAGCTCACCCAATAAAATAAAGAACCATGGGCTTCTAAGCCACCAAAACCACCTACACAATTTTGCAGCCCCTGGTTTTTCTCCTTATCTTTGGTCATTTTCTAGTTTCAGCAACTAAAGCATCTTAAGCTTCCTTCTGTGTATAAAAGAACCACACTCACTTCATCTTCCTCCATCAAAACATAAGCATCTTAAGCTTCCTTCTCTGTATAAAAGAACCACACTCACTTCATCTTCCTCCATCAAAACATATATTCATTTTACCACTGAGCTGAACCAACCTTAGTTACAGAAGAATTAAAAGATGAGTTCAGCAAGCAGAGCTTGGAGTGTTGCAGCAAGTGTCGGAGTTGTGGAAGCCTTGAAGGATCAAGGCGTGTGTAGGTGGAATCATGCGTTCAGATCAATTCAGCAACAAATGAGAACTCAAGTGAGGTCTCTGTCTCAAGCAAACAAGCTTTCTTCTTCCTCTTCTGCCATGGCCTCCACCAGACTAAAAGATAGCCACACAAAGCAGGCTGAGGAGTCCTTAAGGACGGTCATGTACTTAAGTTGCTGGGGTCCCAACTAAACTATATTTTTGGATTGAACTGATTTATCGGCCATCTCTTTCAACAACATGGAGGCTGATAATTCAGGGGCTATTATTTAGTCCTTCCTTGGTGCTTGTATATATAATGTTATTAATGAAACTCTTTTTCTCCATTCAACTTGTGCGTTTATCATCATTTTTCGCTTTCATAAACTTCCTCTTACAGTGGAAATTGCATGCCCTTCAATTTTCTGAGAAACTAAAACGCGAGGGAAAAAAAGGTGCGAGGGATTTATGCTTATTCCAATTTTTCCTACAATTTAATCATGGTTTAAGGCAACGATTATCTAACTGTGGTGTTGATAAACAAAGAACTAGTACTAAGTTGCAGTCATGAGATAGATTTTCAAAACTTGAAAGGAAATTGCTTGTCCACTGTGAATCACCAGCATGATTTTGATATGAACACTTGAAAATTTCTACTATGTCCATTTGATATAGAAAAGGATGATTGACTGTGAAGAACCTGTACTTGTGTGCGCGTTTTTTTTTTAAAAAACAGAATCAGCCCTTTGCAAACTGAACTTAGATGAACAGTATGTCCAAGAATTTCTGAATTCTGATTAATATAGCCAAGTAAAGGTAGTACAAGAATCGGAAGATTGGATTTTAAAATGCATCAAAGCTGAAAAACTGAGAATAAAGTAAGTGAATAAGAATACAAAGCGTCACGGAAATGAAACGCATACAGCTTAAATCCCTTTCCTCATTTGCACCGTATCCTGTAAATTTCCATTCACGCATGTTTTGATTACAAACGCTTGACTCTACTTATAGTACATACGTGGTCCACCCGAAGAAATGGATGAAAAGCCCATCAATATGTGTGGCTCGATGGGAAACTCTTTGAACGATATATAAGTAGAATATTATTTTCTTTTTGTTATTACCAGCCGCTTGCTGAAACAGTTTTACTACTCTATATTCTTGGGATCCGCATTTCGTGCTCATCATGATGAGCATTGGTGAGTGATCCTAACCCTTCATTTTGTTCTAATATGATTTTTGCCCTTAATTTTAAATTAATTTTTAAATATTTTAAATGTTTATTTATCAAAATAAAAATTATAAAACTTTTTAATGTTAAATCTGGATTGTTCTCAGTGCTCATTACATGATAAGCACTATCATGCACAACAATTTAGATTTAAATTTTTATTTTTATTTTATATTAATCAAAATAAAAATGCATAAAAAAGATTAAATTTTTAATAAATCTGTTGATAATCAATTTTATTTGTTCAGATTTAATTGAAATAATTTAATTTAATATAAATTTTTTATATCTTTTATAAATTGACTATACAAATATATTTTGAATAGTTTAAATATAATTTAGATCATCCAATTTAATATTAAATCTTTTATAATTTTTATAAATTAATTATTTAGATATATTTTAGACATTTAAGATTTAATAAAAAATTTTATAATTTTATTTTGACAAATATAATATTTAAAATTTTAAAAATTAATTTAAAATTAAGGACAAAGATCATTTTAGACAAAATAAAGGGTAAGAATCACTAACAAGAGTGATGAGCAACGAATACGGATCCATATTCTGGCGAAGTAAGACTCATTTATTTCTTCAAAAGACCCCGAAAAAAAAAATAATAATAACAAGAAGCAGTTTCAATTCTTTTCCTGCAAACTGGGGGTATGATAATTTTTTATGAGATCCAAACCGCGTGCGGGTTGTCATTTTACGTGAAGCTTACCCTCTCAAAATCTAAATCCAAGTGACGTAAGTATATGGTCCTGCGTCCCAAAACCACTTGCTTACGGCCTCTGGTTTTCCCAGTTTTGGCCTGTTCCTTCATCTACCTACTTTCCCTTCTCAAGCTTCCCTATATAAAACAAACCTTCCTCTCGTCTGCTCCATCAAAACCAAATCCCGCTAGGGTTCCATTACTCACCCCGTTCCTTTTCTGTCATACGAAAAGCAAAGCAAACAGTGTTTTAAGGAGAATTATAAGATGAGTTCTGCAAGCAAAGCTTGGATTGTGGCAACAAGTGTTGGAGTTGTTGAGGCCTTGAAGGACCAAGGAGTTTGCAGATGGAACTCTGCTTTAAGGTCAGCTCAGCAACATCTGAAGAACCAAGCGAGGTCCATCTCTCAGGCTAAGAAGCTTTCTTCTTCTGCTATGGTTTCCAGAAGACTCAAGGACAAGAAGGCAAAGCAATCAGAAGAGTCCTTGAGGACCGTGATGTACTTAAGCTGTTGGGGTCCCAATTAAAGCAGAAGAGAAGCCAGAAAAGAACGTTTTTGTAATTAATTCTTGGTTCTAAGCTTCCTCTAACCAGAAAAGGGGGGATGAGTTTTCTGGTGCCATATTAGCTTTAGTTGATCCTCCATGGTGACAGAATGATGTAAATTTTGACAAGCACTAATCGAATTGTCAGATTTTTTCTTTTTTTTTTTTTTTCCACGTAACACAAGTGTCCGTCGCCCTTTTCACTTTGGCACGCAGATGTGCTTCCTCTTAACTTAGAGATTCATACCCTATCAGCATTTCTTCACAACTCGAATGCTTGGCTGATTTAAAAAAGAAAATCAACACTCCAACTTAAGATTAAAATACCCCTGCCCGCGCACACAAAAGTAGGTATCATTGAAATCTTAGGAGGAAATTAAAACAGAATGGAAGTTGGGCACATGGCTTCCATTTTTTAAATTTTGATTACAGATTACATAATTGCCTCCCATTTTTGATGAAAAACGATATGTTAAATTAATGAATACATGATATCATGAGAAGCAAATAATTACTTATTTATTATGGGGAACAATTATTTTTATGAAGTTTGGGAGAATGAAATATATAATTTGGGAGAGAAATTATGTTTACTAGTGTACAATTCTTGTTGGATCACTTGGTAATCTGTTGGATAAAGTGAAAAGTTTTACATTACTTGTGATATTTATTATGTGATGAATGTATAATTTTCAATCATTCTTTTACAAATTAATAGTAGTTTTTTTAATGTACAGTAGAGATTCATTTAACCTAAACCTTTTGAATTGTTTTATAGACAACAATATGTCGGCATTTATCATATGCAAAAGTCAAAACATTCAAAGGGACAAAAGATTTTCCCAACCAGAAAATTATTGTATGAGCAAAATTAAATTCTTGAGCGCTTGAAAATTTACTGCTTTTTGTTTTTTTTAATGAAATAGTGCCTTTTTTTTTTCCAAAAAAAAGATATATTGCTTTTTTATTTAATTATTTATATTAGTATGCTGCAGTTACCATACAATTCTTGATCACTTGAAAAGTAAATAAAAAATGGTTTAATGAGTAACGCAATGCCACTGTCTGCCCCAGTCAGTCAATGTGCCATGTATCCATTCATACTATTAATTAATTATTAGTACTTGAGGCTTGCAAACACTTGATCCAAACTCCTTCCTGAGTTTTGAAGCAAGCAGTAATCAACTCAGAAGACAGCCACATGGGAAGAAGCAATGTGTGACAACCTTGCGATAAAGATACGTAGTCCCTTTGAGGACGATGCATTGAACTTGGGCCGGAAGCTCAGCCAATAAATTGTAGAACCATGGCCTTCCACTACCTCCAAAACCACTTGCACAATTTTTTCAGCCCCTGATTTTTCTCTTTATATTTGGCCTTTTCCTTCTTTCGGCAACAACTTCAGCATCTCAAGCTTCCCTCTCTCTATATAAACATCTACATTCACTTCACTTTCCTCCATCAAAGCATACACTGATTTTATTCTTGAGTGACACAAGCCTTAGTTACAGAAGAATTAAAAGATGGGTTCGGCTAGTAAAGCTTGTGAGTGTCGCATCAGGTGTTGGAGTTGTGGAAGCCTTGAAGGACCAAGGCGTGTGTAGGTGGAACCATGCTTTCAGATCAGCTCAACTACATCTGAAAGGTCAAGTGAGGTTTCTGTCTCAAGCAAACAAGCTTTCTTCTTCCTCTTCAGCCATGGCCTCCACCAGACTAAAAGATGACCATCCACATCAATCTGAGGAGTCCTTAGGGACGGTCATGTACCTGAGCTGCTGGGGTCCCAGCTAGACAATATTTTGAATTAGTTATTCATAACTCCCCTCTTTGGAAAAAATAAATAAATAAATAAGTGAGGGCTTGGAGTTCTGAGACGATATTGGCCTGCCTTGGTGCTTACATATATTCCAGCTAATGAAAAGTTTATTTCTCTAATATACTTGTCTTTGCCAACACTTGGTATTAATACTGAAATGTCTTGCATTACAAAGCAATTGTCTCTCTCCAATGTTCCCGTATTGCAATTTAGTCACAGTTCAAGGACAAGAAAATTGAATATGTAATCGCTAAACACAGTGTATTGAGTTGCTGACATTAGATGACATCTGACCTTGAGGTCTGAAGTTGGAGCCAGCCTTCGTGCTTGTTTATATGTAGCATGTAGCTTATTTCTTGTCTTCTTCAGCACTTAGTAAGCATCTTTCATTTCAAAGGAAATGACTCTTTTTCAAATATTCCCGAATTATTTACTCAATTCAGTCACGGTTAAAGGGCAGAAGTGTTGAATCTGTAGAATTGCTAAACACAGCTTCTGGTGTCAATAGCTAACATGGCTGACATTTGACCTCGAGGTCTGAAGTTTAATGACAAATTATGTTATACAACAAGAAGCCTCATTCTAACCTTGAGGTCTGAAGTTTGATGACAAATTGTGTTACAACAGCAAGCCTCATTTTACTAGGTGAGATTGGCTATATAAATTGTACAATGTCATTGCACCCTCTCATTTATCAAGCTTCTAAAAATGTTGTTAGTTGAGAGGTTTCAGTCAACAACTTTTATAAATGATTTTTTTGGCCTTCCTCTACTTCTCTTTATAAAGCTCAAAAATATTTATTTTACTCTCTTCATCGGTGCCTCCTACGTCTTCTTCATATATGTTCAAATCATTTCAAATGATTTTCTACTAATTTCCCCTCAATAAATGCTACACTTACTTTTTTCATATATGCTTATTTCGAATTTTATCATTATGTATCTCCACACATTCATCTCAATGTTTTTTATCTTTACTATTCCAACTTTATGTTTCTACTATCCTTTTAAAGCCCAACAACATTCACTATCATATAATATACTTTTTCTCAAAGGTAGATTGCTTACAAATACCAAGAGGGTTAGAAGGAGGATGACACTAGATCCAAAATGTGCGTTATGCAATGGTTCTCAAGAGGATATCAATCATGTTTCCAAAGAATGTACACTGGCTTTTGCAGTCTGGAAGAAAATCCTACCAGTAGACATGAAGATTGATTTTTATGGTAAGACTATTGATGTTTGGATGGCTGACACTCATGAATCCCCACTTTGATATCTCTTGAAAGATTGGCACTGCTATCCTGCGCTGGAAATTTTGGGATGCATGCAATTGCAATATTTTTACTAATGAATCTTCCACTGTAAATAGTATTTTAGCAAATGTTAGAGTAATAGTTGACCACACTATTAGATCGTATCAAATTTATAACGCTTTGATGTAATTCGTTTTTGGTTGCTGCACAGCTTGATTATTAATGAAATTCCTTTTTCACTCAAAAATATAACTGGTCTTATAGTAATTCAATAAAATTTTCAGTTAAATTTATTTGGTAATTTATACTCCTAATGAGAAATTGTGTTGTTGCGGGAGTTGGCCTAAGGATTGCTGGAATGATTGGTCACGTCTGTGCCAACAATATCAATCAACCATGGATCTATTTTAAGCACTAAACCTTACTCTTCAGATTTTATTGTGTTTTTCTGATCTGGGCTAGCAGCAAAGACTCAGTTTCTTCAACAGCATAGGGAAAAGTTCTTGATGACGCACTAGTTATGAATGCACCCTATCCTTTAATAACTACTCGAATATCAGGTTCAATACGATAATTAACAGAAACCATGGAACCTGCTGGCATTGAAACATCCACTGTTCTGAGCGAATACTCATTTATGGATAGGGAAATAAACTTGGAGTTTCTCAGAGAGGATCTTTATCATGCCTTGTACTTTTTATATCAGAGTTCACATCCAATCCAATGCCATTCGAACTTGAACGCTTCATTGAATGCTTAAAACAGATGGCTTCTGACATAAATAGCAAGTCTGGTTATGGAAAGCTTCTCACGAAACATTAACTACCAAAATATCATTCTCTAACAAACAGTGAACTGGTACAATAGTAAAATTAAGCGTTAAATATTTCAATAACTGAGAATTGAAGCTTCTCTTCTCATTACCTTGGTCCTTGTATAATTGCACTGCGGGATCCACAATCCGTGCTGTCGTATGTAATTGACTTGATTGATTCGCCATCCATTATTGGGCTCTTTTTATAGAAGAAAGGACAGCCACACCCCAAAAGCTATGCAGAGAGAACAAATTATTTGGCATCACTGTATCAGTATCTTGCTGCTATTGCAATATTTTCAAGCTGCAACAGAACCGTAAATAATATTATCGAACCCAGAGATTTGAGAAGTTCTCGGATCTTGTTTAATTCTCTCTCTCTCTCTCTCTGCATATTTTATTTTAGCAGTTAAATCGCTGCATCATACTTACTGAAGAGAAATCGTATTTTGGAAGTGATTCGCCACTTCAGATGTTAATTGGAGATTGGCTGAACCTATATTCTGGCAATCTAGCGTATCATAATTTGAATGCTCACTTTTTATTGGTGAATAGTGAAAGCCGTATTTATTTCACATTAATTTCAATCCCAAGGACCCATAACGAGGTTCTTTTCTCTTTGGATATAACAAATAAGATGTTAATCGTAACCAAAAAGAGAAAACAAAGAAAAAAGAAATAAGATGCTAATTTTGCAATCATGGGCCCAGAAATCCTAAAAGACGAATATTTGTTGAAGCCTTGCGGTTACGTAGCTATGTATGATTATTAAACTCCTATACAATATTCTTTCTTTTTTGGATGAATCCTTTGCAATAAATTCGAACTGAAAAGAGATGTTATTCATCTTTATTAATCATACTTTATTTATTTTTTAAGTTCAATACACAATTTTTTTTTTATTTTCAATCAAGCATGAAATAGGGTAGATTATGTAAGTAAAGATATCTAAATTTGGTGAATAGAGCGGTTAGGTAAGCCCATTTAACAAGAGGAATTAGCTTATATTAGGATCCTAGAATCACAAACCAAACTAACCCTATTAGGCTCCATTTTAAGGGGTTTAAATGAGCTGACCAAAACGAGCCAAGGGTTGTCTGTTTGAGCCTACATATATATTTTTTAAAACTTTTTTTACATAAAAAATTCTAAACTAAATTTTTTAAACCCACTTAAGCATTTTCAATTTGATAAAAAAATGTCAAAAAAAACATGTAAAAGGGCTCAAAGCCCTCAAGCCAACCCTAAGTCCATTATGTTGAAGGTTGGGCTTAC